ATCATCACAAAATGTACAAGTTGCACTCTTATTTCGCTCCCTCCCACCATTACAGTAGTTGGATTTATTGAAAAATGGTGGGGGACATGATTGAAAATGAGATATGTATGATATGTATTGTCTTTGAAAAGCCCCTTCAGGAAAGATAATAAAATACGTGTGTATTTATGTATGTATGCATGCATGTACAATAGTTGCTAAAGAGAAAAAATGCTACAAAATGGTCTCTACAACGCTGTTTCGTGAGCTTTTACAGTCGCTCATCAGGAGAAGAATATTCACCAGCAAGGAATATATAACAATTATTCACCGAAGTTGAGGTGGCTAGTAGTGGGTATTTACCGAGGCCGCGAAGCGGCGAGGTAAATATCCACTACTAGCCACCAACACTGAGGTGAATAATTGTTTTAGTATATACTAAAATTGAGCACAAAATGATGATTTTTAACTCATTTACTGTTGCCAACGATTGCAATTTTGGCGCGCGATGACCGAACGGCCGCGGTCGTCGCTTTTTCTTATTGACAACTAAAACTTTTGAAGGCATTTGTTTAGCTCTTGCGAGGAAGTTTCTTCAAAAGGAGTTCTGAATTTTGTTTGTATTTAAAATAATTCTGTAAAAGAGATTATTAAATTTAGTTTTAAGCTTGTTTATGAACAAGTCAACTAAATAAAGCAATGCAAGACTTAAGCTTAATTTGCATTTGTAAGCAAAAAACTTTTTCACCGGTTTTATAGATAACTGTTCAAGTAAAAAAGACAAAGCCTTACCTGTTAAAACTTCCAAACCGAACTTCGTCACCTTCTTGATGTATTTCGGAAATAGCTTGCTTGATTAGTTGTGAAATTTCTTAGTTTGTTATGGCAGCAAACCGGGAAAGCATTTTGCTCGCAACCTAGGCGAGTTTGGTGTCGCTAGCTCGTAGGAACTGGAGGTGAATCAGTGAATAGTGCAGGATATTCACTGATTGAGTAGCCAATCAGAGCGCGCAAAAAACACTATCCACTGTTTTAGTATATACTAAATATAATTAGAGTAGTCCCTAGTGTATTGCCCATGGGGTATTGCTAGTTGTAACGTAATAGCACTTTGTTTCTCTGTTGGCATGAGGACATGAGTTCGTTTCGTTTGCTCAGCGTGGAACGTTCTGGTTGATGGATTATAATGAATTTCTCCAACAGGCACAAGTTAGATCTTTTGTTGGCGCTGTTGTATGGTTTGGCCCTGGCTAAAATGTTCCATGAAATGGTATACATGAATGTATGTATGAGGGCATTGGCTGACGCTCTGGGAGATAGTTTACCCCATCACTTGCCATCATTTACCACCTGCCATTTGCCACCTGTGGGCTTGCATTAATTGGTGAGTCCAAGGTCAGATTTAATTCCAGAATGCTTTGATTTTTTTGCCTGTACGGAAATAATGCCATAACCTTCTTTATACTGGGTGAATGCAAAGTGGAATGATAGGGAATTTGCATTTCCAACAGTCTATACAGTGACATTGACAGATTGTTCAAAGAGCATTTCCAGCAAATTGAAATACATTTTACATACTTTACTTAAATTGCTTATCTCTGAAGCATTGGTGTCTACTTTGTTAAATAATGTACAAGTAACCCTTAAATAATGTGCAACCTTTCCAAGTGCTAGTTGTTTAATTTTTTCTGTGCAAGTGTCTCGTTTGGAATTATAAGGGCATCAAGAAATCTATAGGAATATCGAGCAAGAACTATGGCCTTCTCCCCAATAAGGCGAATAGTCAGGTTGTTGTATGTCTTATCTTTGTCTTTATAGTGTTCCTTTAAGACTAGCTACCAAAGCTAAGCCACAGCCCAATAGATGTTGCCCCACCCCAACAGGAGCTTCTACAACGTCATTAACATATTTTAAAAACTGACCAGCATTTAGTTGGGAGGTCATGCTGCCGGACTCTCTCACCTGCACCCTCAGGTTGGGAAATACTTGCTTCACTTGATTTTTTCTTGTCTTCGTTTGCAGTTGTCATTGGTGCACTCAAAACCTCAAGAGATGTCTCTGTGATATTCGTCATGAGGGATTCTTTATATAGTAAGTTGAGAAGGTGCTGCCACTCATTTATCTCATTGTGTACTGGTTCTGGCCTTTGTTAGTCAGCAAATCCCTTATTCGGGGTACCTGCTGCAGACCATTTTCCCTTGTGAACTCTAGCTCCCTAGCATGCTTTTCCGGACTTCCTAAACTGTTGCTAAGTGACTTCCTAAAACTTTCTAACTTGCCTAAATCTCTCTCACGTTTCATTTGCTGCTAGCTTGCATGTGCAAGTTTCTATGATGAACACTTGCTTTAATCACTTGGAAGTATCGTATATCGTATAATAAAGACGTAATGGCATTGGAGAGGTAAGCAGGGTATGCAGCCTATGGAGGGTCACAAACAAATGCAATCAGTTTTACAGTTCTATAGCTAGCTTGTTCCTCTGGTGAAGAATAAGACACATTCCTGACAATTGCTTTCTTGGTCTTATAGATTCTCCCCCGAGTTTCACTTATTTCTCTTAGGTGTGCTTTCGATGGCTTTGGTTTAATTGTAGTGATTTCAAAGCCAGGTGACTGGCCATCATCGGTTGTCAATTCAATATAAATTTGTACTTCAAAATCTTACTTTCATCTTGTTTTTTAACCAGACTGGAGGAATGTATTAACCTTTTCAATGACTTAGGCATTAAAGAAGTTGCTTTAACTTCTAGTGATCACCTCACTGTGGACAAGATACTCCTTAGTCCATCATGCCCAATGTGATATTCCTTCTGAAAACCAGACATGTTCAAGTTGCAGACCATGTTCCTCAACATAACTGAGTCTGAATCATCTGATGATATTGAAACTAACCCTGTGAGCACTGAAATAACCATTGCCACACTTAAGGCTTTGAATTTTGTGGACGCAATGAAAGGATCAATCTCGGATTTTGAAGATCTCCTACAATTTGCTAAGGAGGTATACTGTAAAAGCCACAGAAATTTCGAAGAGAGATGGCCTAGAAACTGAGGAGAGACCCAAACCGTTCTCAAAATTGTTGCTACAAATCCCCCAGAGAACTCTTTATCTGTCTGGATGACAGACACTATGCTCAGTGGGATGTAATGGAAAATGCAGAAAAGTGCAGATACTGGGGAGAGAATGGTTCTATCAAATGTTGTTACCTAAGTATCTGTGACAAGCGTCAAATGTGGTGTGCGAACTATTCTATGTGTAAGAAGATGATAGCGCATTAGAAAGAGAAAGACCACTGGATAGATGGTTAAGGACCAAATCTCACACTAAAGGAGATATGTATGGTGGCCGAGAACTACCAATTGAAAAATCCGCATTTTGAAGGAATGATTATTTTATATTTTTATCTGTAATTATTTTCCACTTTCTTTTAAATTTTTATTAATTTAACAGAAAAGTGAAAGTAGAATCAAAATAAAACGCATCGAAACGAAAGTAAAATGAAATGAAATCAAAAGTGAAATAAAATTAAAAGAGAAAAATTCGACCCAGCCGAGCACTGCCACTACCAGCATGGATTGCGTACATCATGGAGACTTTGTGTTGTGTTTACAACACTTTCTTTGGAATAAGTTCGAAGATGGTGGCTAACAGGTTTTCATTGTGGACGGAAGATCATCTTCAAACTCTCAACAGACGTTTGTGCCATTTCTGAGTTTATAGCAAAGACAAGATAACACTTTTTTGGTTGAAGATGTTGAAGTGGCTGTAAAAAAGGAATCGAAGGGCCCAGCAAAACTGTTGGGGTATCGAGGTTACCGGTCATCTTGCCTTGGTTACTTAGCCCCCTATTTAAGAACGGGGAATATTACCTTTGAAGTGTGTTAAATGACTCGAAAATAGGAGCCTAAGTACCCAGGGTGAAATGACTGCGGGGCGAAATTACCAGTTACTCGTTATAGAGCAATGCACTAGAGAGTCAAACAGAAATATTACATTTGGTTAGGCGAGATTACGTCTAATAAGAAATGTCTCTTGCAAGCACTTTTGATGTTGCCAATCGTCATCTCTTCCGCTTTGCCAGGTTTGTCAAAAGAGGCAAACTTCCGAGGACCGATTTTTCTGTATTTTTGAGATGAATGCAAATACTGGAGCAGTAAGATTTTTGAGCCACATGACTGGTTTGAAAGGTGAGCTTTGCTCAAAATGGCCGCATGTAGTATGTAACCCTGGCAACAAATCTTTGCCCCAACAAACCTCACTCTAGTCGACTGACCCCCTACAAATATAATCTTTATTTCATGCATAGGATCATGTGATGTCCATGTGCGTCTGGTTTGGGTATGCCAGAAAAATGTGCACCGTACTGGAGGATTGTCAACTTGAGGGACTTTATCAAGAAAGCCTGCTTTGACGTAAATTTCCGCAGTCTACTTGTTATAGGGTCTGAGAATGTAGACACAGCCTTGTTCTCCCTCTTTGATGCATATACGGCATCTACCACTTTCTGGTCTTTTTTTTAAGTTGAAGGACTAGGTATTGGTTGTGTTAATCTGTCAAATGATTTAATATTTTCATTCTACTAGTTGTACTATGCTTTGTTGATTAAACTCTGATTGAGGCTGAAAGACGTTTCGTGGAAAGGGTGAGTTGGGCTTGTGACCTCTTTTACAGCATTTTTAATTTTACTACACAATCAGTATATTAGAATAGAACAATACTCCTACTTCACTTTGTTTTAAATCGCTGATCGGTAAAAAAAGTGTACCTCTGGCGCCTGTGTGAGGAGGGGCTGGTGCAAGTGCACCCGTCGCACCCCCTATAGAAACGCAGTACTGTATACCGTAGAAGATTAGACAATGTACCATTCAGTTACAAGTTAGCACTGTACTTTGTTTAAAGCTAGTAGATCGCTTGAAAGAGTGTTGTTTTATCGTTTCCTTGCATGATACGCCATTAAAATTGACATTAGACCATGCCCAGTGAGTATTAAGTGGCCAGTTTCTCAAGTCCCGAGGATGGCAGTTATATACAGGTTCGACTGTAGCTCAAGTACTCTCTACATGTTGGCACAAATGCTAGCTGATCAGCATCTTTCGCACCTGAGGCACCCAGCATGTAAAGATGTGGAGCTTCTATAGCAGACTGAACATGTATGGCTTTTCCATTACTCTTTTTCCTGTACTCCTGGTTAGTAAGATGTACAGCAGGATCATAGATTTCTCTAAGAAGGAACAACATAATCCTGCTCCTGCTATGTTAGAATGGTCATGCCATATTAGCCAGTGTCTGCTTCTTTCCCTCGTTTTTGGTTGCTTGCAGAGTTCATCATGTGTCATAGCAGTGGTTTGTTCATGAAGAGACTTGAGCCTTGCCTTAAGCTGCTGGGTGTTCATGTTGGCATACTCTTCATCGCTTCTCAATCTCAGGAGATCTGTCTTTTCACGCGTTCTTCTCAGACTTGTCTGAGGGGGCACTTTCTTGCTGAGACTTTGCATGCTTTCTTTTCAATTTTACCTTCTGAAGGGAGAACAACTTTTGTATACTCAGTGTCTAGAACAGGAGATCCGAGATTGAACTTCCCAGAAGCTATTCTTTCTTTAATATCCGTCCTAAGTTTCTGGTTATTTCTTGGGACAGGCACTGACACTCTTCCATCAACTTGTTTTTTCAGGGCTCTTCTCACCCTACTTTTTCCTAAAAGATAAAAGAGGTTCTTAACTAAAGTGCATATTAATGACAATCTGGGTGGATCATTCTCTTGATTGATTTAAAATCTTTTTTCTTTTCTACTACAGTGGGAACAAGTCAGATCTTCAATGCTGACTAGGTAAACCTGGATAGAAGATATCGAAATACTACTATGATGGAAATTGTGGCAGGTACAAGGCATTTAGTGTACAATCCTCATACAGAGTAAAGGTTTCTTTCTATTTCCTTAAACTACAGCCAACCGGTTTCGGGCGTACAAATATGTAAATTTTTGAACTTGTCTGTGAGTGACTGAAATCGTGCCGGTCTACCAGGTTGGTAGGTATGATTTCCCTCACCACTCTGAAAACCTACATTGGCTGGCACCCAACACCAGCTCCAAGAGTCTTACCACTTCGATACTATATAACAAGAGGACCATTAAAAAGAATTTTTAAAAACTTTTATAAACATTCAGCTTATAACTAGCAAAGGTATACGTATTCACCTGGTGAAAAACAGCAATGTTATTAAGGTGCTTGATACATAAACGATAAGCTGACTATAAAAGATTTTGTTCTTTAATTTTACTTACCCATACCTTTGCCTATTTGTTTCTGTACAATCTAGACTGGCCTCTGTCAGCACTTTTGTTAGTCCTTGAGAGCAAAACGATCCTGAAGTTGAACAAGGCTCTCGAGTGCTCAAAATCTCAACAAAATGGAAAAAGCATAGTCTAATGATGAGAAATAATCAGTAAGCAAAACAAAATTGATTAAATCTTTACCCTTTGACAACAAATTCCGAAGCTACCTCTGTTTGCTTCGATTTCTGCCATCTTTTCTTCGATGTGAGGATATGGAAAACTGCGGTCTATAATATCGTGTACTCCACTTTCTGATAGTAACAAATCCAGTCCAGATAACTTCGGGTAAAATTGTTAAAATTTCGTAGGCCTTAGGTTTTTTAAACTCATATATACGGGCAAAAACACCGCTCTAGAATTAGCTGTTTTTGAAAATCAGGATCCTTTTGGCCCTTGATGTGCAAGCCTTTACTTGTCACTTAAAGTGCTTTTCTGGGATTGGTTATGGGTACTTGTTGCTTGCTGAACCAGTTGCTTGTCAAATTTCTGGGCTAAAGTGGGTAAGGCGCTTGCATGGGTAAACCAGGGAAGGAAAAAGATAAGTGGTGTTGGGAGTTCTCCTGGGTTGGGGAAGCTACTGCGGACTTGGAGGGCTGCACACACTTGGAAATGGTATGCTGTTAGCCACAGCAAAAATATTAGTGCTTCTCAAACATCCCGTGCATGGGATGCCCTTTTTGTAACTTCCAGCATTCACCTCGGAGTATAATGGAGATGCTGCCATATTCCTTTCTGTGAGGTGTTGACTTGGCTTGAAATGAGTGTGGACGCATAATTGAGATTGTATTTGATCCCAGGATACCCTTTTGGTTTTCCTTTAACTTTCTGAAATTCTCATTGTAAAAGTACCAATTGAAGAATCTATTATGTCTTCAAAATAAAAGCGGGCTCTCCATTCAGCATATTACTCTTGCAATCGTTTTGCTAAGGAAAACACAAAGTAAAATAAAACCTATGTGTGAATGTATTGGTCATAAATTTTTATTTTATTTGGTGGCTCTTAAAAGAGCCGTTTTTTTGTTTGGAGGTTTGTTTTACTGGTTCAGTAGCGCACCCATGACATTCACAAGTAAGTCATTGGTCTTTTGTTTCAGTTCCAACGTACTCGTTAGCAGCGAGATCGTCTTTTCTTGCTTGGCCACTTTTTTGCGGAGACGTACCTCTTTTGAATGATGTATGTATTTCGCAGGTATTGTTGCCATAAAATGTGGATCAAGGTGTACCTCCAACGTCTTTAGTGTGACTTTCTCCTTCATTTCTGGTAATGGTGTAGCATCCACCAAGGAGTTAGCGGGAAGAGACAAATCTCTCTCCACTTCCAACATCGCTTGGGTGATGAAAGCTTCTAGTTCAGGATCCATCGTTCACTGGTGTTGTCCCACTCAAGGTCGAATAGCGAATGTGCAGCGAATTATGATTATTTATACCATCTAATTAAACTACCGACCGCTTTTATAACTTTTTATTCGGCCGACTGCTTTAATCAAACTACCGCCCACTTTAATGTTCCTACAGTCTTTCAAAGTAAGTGCGTGAGATTAAGCGCACGTGCTTGCTGACTCAGCGAATTTGAATATCCTTTGTCCTTTTTCTAGTGGATTAAATTACCATACGAAACCATTGACTGGAACAGGTAACCTATAAAACCCAATGCTTTTCACTTTGAATATTCTACGAGTCAACATCCTTCTTATTCTAGAGCGTTTGCACAAGATGCATGCAGATCAAAATGTATTGCCATGCTTAACAATATAAGTAACCCTAGGTCTTCCTGTTTGTTCTAAATAAAAAATGTTACATCGCTGCCTGTGGGGAAATAGAGCTGTCTTGAGATCCTTTGAAAGATTTTTAAAGTTTTTGTGTGCAATAATGTTTTATTCATCTTTACACCGCATTAGTCACTTATTATGTTTAACAAATGTTTGACTCGAGCTCTAACATTTGCATGTGAACTAGCTCATGTGCCTTTTGTTTGACAAACAATAAGTCATACACAACACCTACTCTGATTGGATAGTCCCAGATGTATTGTTCAGTGTCTATAACAAGACCCGAACACTACCTGCAAGCTATTTTATGCAAAGTCTTGTTCAAGTTTGAGTCCAGAACGTCACTTCCGTTTACCCACAACAAAAAATCAACATGGCTGGCTGTTGGAACCCCAAACACCCTCGAAAAAGTGTGGAATATTGTTGTCGAAAGAGAATATCGGAAACTTAGCTACCTGTTTCAAAACCCTGAACGGAACAATGGAATTATCACAGAAAGCTTAAGACAATTAAAAAGGTTCATACACCAGCAGAGCACAACAATCATGTTTCATTGCTTTTTCATAGAGAACTTAAGCGAATTTGAAATCGCCTGGGAGGTGATAAGTCTCCTCTTGGAACTTTTACAGAACGCGATGAAACAAAAAGATGAAGCATTCGCCAAGGTGGTGTGGATACAAATAGCAAACCTGATCAAAATGGTCCAATTTCGGTGTGGAAGTAAATTCACCGTTTTACCCATGGACGGTAAAAACTCTGACCAGTGGAGATGAGAGGATCCTGGAAACCGCGAGCCTAGTCAACTCACCGGAATTCGAAAGATTAAGAGAAAACGCAAAATACGAGACCTTAAAACACTGAAAGTCAAGAATCCCAAGCGACCCAAACACCAGCGACAGCATGGAGTTATCGAGAATCAGACAATTTTTAATTAGAATAAATGTCCTACCGTGAGAATCGATGCACTGTGAATTAAAAAAAGGAACTAAAACGTTTTTGTCTACCTATAAACTTTGTTGATCATTTATTACTTAATCACTGTTACGCGTTCCGTTAACCAGTAGTCATTTGCATCTGACCCACACCTCTTTTGTGTTCTCATAAATTAATCAAAGCTAGTAGACTCAGACACCAAAACAAAACATACAATACAACTTTCGCTTTTCACAGTATTCAAAACATACATTACAACTTTTGCTATGAGAGAAAATTTAGTTTCGTGTTGAACAACAAAATGTAACGGAGTGAACTGAAACTGTAATATTAAACAATTTCTTATAACAAACATTTAGATAGTTGTCGTTCTTTTTTAAAGATGGGTAACCACAGAGGTGTCTGCCGTTCGAAGGCTAAAATGATTCATCAGGAAAATCACAACGTGGTCATAAAGGTCACGCCAGCGTCATGTTGCCTTGCGGTCACCTTTGAACTAATTAGGCTTGGGGTCGTCTAAACAAAAGCGATCTGAAACCAAGAAGAACTTTAAGCGTAACATTCAGCTATTAAGCAGGAGAAAACATGAAATCTGTTGCGTATTTACAAGGCAGTGACATCAAATATTACGTGTTCCTCGCTATCAACGTCAAAATTGAACAGACTTAGTTCACAGGAAATCGGAAGTGTTCTGGTACGATGTCTTGTTTTGTACAGTTTTACAATACCTTTCAAACAAAGGATAATGACCGGCATTAATAAAACGGATGAAACCAAAACAGTCATATAAAGAATTATAGACGTTCCAGGGTGTGATGATGGTAGTCTTGTAGTCGTTGTTGGTTGGGCTAGTTTCCTAGTCTTTAGAGTTTTTCTGGTGGGAGTTGCAGCGTGTGATGATGGTAGTCTTGTAGTCTTTAGAGTTTTTCTGGTCACTGCGATTTCACAGTCAGTGATTACTCCAAATATTGTCTTGTCCGGGAATCCTTTACAGTCGAACGGATTGTCCCTCAGATCCACCATTTTTACATTGGGGAGTTGTTCCCTAAACACCGAATAGTTTACTTGAACCAATTAATTATGTCTCAAGTTCAGTGCACCACATCAAATTCGCTCGGCAACAGTCAATTAGTCGCAGCTCCTCCTTGCAGTAACATCTGTTTTTTAAACACCTTATTCCCCAAATATCAACACAAAACAAGCAGAAGAATAAAACAACCCACCACAGAGTTCCTAGAAATCCACCCATCTTGCTTTAAAATCTCCCATGTGTAACATGAAATTTGAGGATGTGTTAGAATAGAAATTTCAGAATTTCGGGAAAAATAGGCAAACAAAAGAGCTTACCACAAGAAATTTGTCGTTAATTTAACACAAAAAGACAGCCAAAAACGCCAAACACGCCACATTTTAGCGTTGTGTTTCCGCCCTCGGCTCTTTGATTTATAGAAAGAAATTGTTTTGGGTTCAGCCTCCTTGTCATACACACGAATCACATTGGTATTTTGTAATTTTGCAAATTGAAGCCAATATTTTCGTTCTATCTCCGATAGCTCGTGGACCTGAGTTAAATGATTTGCTAATCAAACTAAAAATTTAGAATGACATCCCGTTATGGGACAGTGTTTACATTTTAGTTTCTTCATGCTGACAGGACGAATGTTAGATACCAACTGAGTAAAACTATTTGTGACATGAAATTTATTGTTTATTTTCAAGGGCAGAAAGGGCACCTTTTTAGCCCTGTGTTTTTTCCCCTGGGCACATGTGGAGATCTCGCGTGTAAGTCGTGCGTGTCGAGTCAGGAAACAAGCCACAATTAAATTCGACCAATGATTTATTTACAAACTAATTTCCTATGTACAAACATCCGTAAAAAGCTACACAAAAATACTATTTACAGCTAGAGGCGATCTTATGTAAATATTTCAGAAAACTATTTTTGAGAAAAATATATATACACACTTGAGAAAACGATAATTATTTACAAAATCAATTTTTACAAACTTGAAAACTTAAATGTCGAGTGAAGTGGTGCTAACTCCATCAGCCCAAACTTTTCGTTTTGGGTAAAAATACGAGAACGCATCCCTAACTTGGTCATAAGTGTACATTGTGTTGTTAACAACACGAAAACCCCTGTTAACACCTGAACTATTCTGTTTTGTGAGCAACACTTGTAAATAATTGGCTTTGTTAATCTTGTTACATTTTTTGTTAACTCCTTTGCAAGAAAACTTATCTTTCGCCCCAAAGCAATAATAGGTCTTGCTACACAACCCCACAATCCCTTGACCCTCCCACTCAACTTTAAAAAGACCTGGGGTTCTCTTATCATAAGCCTTGTGTTTGCTGGTGTTGGTTCTTGGGGACCAGTTACACTTATCCTGCTCAAACTCCTCTCTTAATTCGGGTTTTACCAAAGAGTCAACAGTATCCCAAGAAATTGCAATATACATGCTGTCTGTATCTATCTCACACATTTGGAGATCGCTGCGATCGAGAAGCTTGTCAAGAAAATCATAATAAAATTGCAGCATTCTTAACTTAGCATATTGATACACGAAAAAACCGATTTGGCTTGGAAGATTTAACTTGATGGTTTTTTTACAAGACTATACTTCATAAGTATCTTCCGTGATATTAGTGAGCTTAAGATCCGACGACGGCGAGATTCTGCGACGGCAGACTTGGTCGAGGGGGTTTGGGGTGAGGTCGCCGTCGCAATGGCGCGAAAAATAGCATTAAGAAAGCTCGCTCAACGGCGGGTTGTTGTAGCGCCTTTTCCTGTTGAAGTTTAGAAATAAATACAAGAGTGATGACTACTTTTAGAAAGGTTCGTGAATTGTTACTGACAAGTTTCGATGATGACGACATTTCAGAAGATGAATTTTTACTGTTGTATGATGTCAACAGATCTAAAAATCCGGATTTTCCCTACCAGAATTACGAACATTTTGACTCCGAGAGGCTTGACGAAAAGATGAGTGACATAATCCATTGGACCTCAATTTAATGCCAAAACAAGTCTACGATATCATAATTGTTAATAAACACAGCAATAAACACAAGAAAAAACTTGTAAACCTTACTGGGTTGCTTTCTTTGTCGAGTTGACCGAGTCCATGGCGATTAACAAGTCAAACTGTTTAGAGAGGGCAAACAAATTTAATTTAAATTCCGTGTTCAAATTGTTTAAGTCGCTTAGAAATTCGACTAAAATGGTCTACTGAGAATAAACTGTTAACAGTGCTAAAGAATTTCGCTCAAAATGTGTTTAAATGGCATTATTTTGATCAAGTTTACTCACGTTTTACACGCGACGGCAAAATGGCCTTCTTCACGTTACAGACAAGGCCGCTACGGCGGGAAACTTTGCAACGACGGCAGCCGGAAGTCTTTCTAGCAGTAATTTCATTTCCGCTCACCGTCACAGACGTCTGCCGTCGTCGTATCTTAAGGAGGCTATTATCTGGCTTGCGGAAGAGAGGGGTGTTCACTTTTTGGCTGGCCTCAGCGTCACTGCAATAATCCACATTCCTATGCTTCAATTGGTTGTTGATTGTTTTACCATACGATTAATTTCCCACCTAAAAAAGCAAGGTTTATATCAGTTTTCTGTATACAATCATATCGTTCTCCTCCCCTATGATCCCAGAATGAAACAAAAACTTACCAATTTCATGGTATCCACGATGATGGCTTTGTTCGGGTCTGCATCGCCTGCTCGTCTTGCGTCAGACACAGCATCTCCAAAGGATTTGAAGCAGGGCTCAGGGGTGAACTCGATCACTTGGTGTACTTTCGTGACCTCTAAACCATGTTCCAAGTACCGTTTCAGAAGAGGTGTAGCCAGCAGAATCTTATCTCCTTTCATGCTCCCGATCAAGCTGCGACGGGGCTGAGCCATGATGCTGCGATCCTCAGCGTACGCTTTCATGAACTCTCCAATATCCTCTCGACTGATGTTGGTGTTTTTAACGATCAGGCACATCTCACTGAACTTCTCTTTCAATGCTCTGGTATGCAAATATCCACTTCCACGCACCCAAACAAACGCTCATTTTGCACCTTGCTCAAAATTCGCTCAGCACTCATGATCTTGACTTTGTCGAGGGTTCTTGTCATTTCTGTAGCGATAAACCGCTGCAGTTCAGGATTCGTTTTCTTCATATCACGCCATTCACATTCCCACCTCTCCACGACACGGTAGTCTTTATTCTTAATGTACTTTGTAATGGCTCTGGTTTCTTCAAGTAACTCAACCATGGGTTTGTTTCGTTTTTCATTCATTTCTTTTCCTCGGTTCAGAGCGCAGTCGTGCCCGTGCCAATAACAGCCGTGAAACTGATATACAGTTTGCATCTGTGCGTGAAAACCATCCATGGGAAGTTTTCGATCGGCGATACGCTTTTCTCTATTGTTGAGTTGATGACGCATATGGATTCGTTCCTTGTGTGCCACCCATTTGAGCCATTCAATCGCCATCTTTATAGAGCTTTAAGGTTTGAAGTCGTTTTCCGCCAGGTGTCGCGTGCAACTTCCCGTCGGCATGTTCTGCATAATAGCCCAGAGGTACAAAGCATTCACATTGTAACCCACGATCTTCTGGCACAGCTTAGCAGCCTGGCCTTCTTCAGCTTTCCTGAGTTTCGTTTTATCGGCTTCGTGGTAACGATGGAAGATGATTAGGGGTCCTCCGGTGTTGTTGTCTTTGATCAAGTGATACAGGTCACTGTTAGCTTAGAGTAACTTAAAAGGGAGTAATTGCCGGTTATAAAGTAGAGCGTTTTCACATGACTTCGTGGCTGTCATATTGGTGTTCCAGGCAATAAAACTGTTTCAAACCAGTCCTTTGAGAGTTGAACTCAATTTCTTATGTTAACACTTTCTTTTTTACATAGATGCTGGTCATGTGACTGAAAAAGCTCTATATATTAGGTCACTTGTGAATAAACAACTAGCCACAGCACTTGCAAAGGACGTTGATTGATGGTCCATTAACCATGCAGCCTCGTTTTGAATCAAAATATGCCATCGAATCGAAGGTTTATTCAGTGCTGGAGTTATGAAGACTAAATTAGCTGGGGTTTAGAACAAATGAGAAACGGCGAAATATTTTTGAATGAATATTAATAAGGTGTATAAAAAACAAACAAAAATTGTCAACTTTTAATAAACTCGAAACTGGCTAGAAACAAACAAATTAACTTGCGTTTTCCGAAGGATTCCAAGATGGCATTTGATCCACTTCACCATTCCACTGAAAACAAGACGCTGTGTGAGCGTATATTTGGGCGTGGTCGTACTACGGGTATGATACTTTGAACATGCCTTATTGCAGCTAAAGAACTGTCATCATATCTTACCAGAGAAGACAAATCCTTTACTCCACTTGTTTGCTGAACCACACAGCTTATACAGTATGTTCCAATCCACAACAAAAATAGTGTCACTTCACGACAATGTTTGAAAATATGCACATCTTCAATGCAGACATGCTTGGAGCCAAATTACAACATAGGACATAAGTGGTTACAGCCCAGAGAGTAAGGTTTATCTCAGCTTCACTGATACTGACAGATGTGTTTTCACACCCATCACTTTGTACAGTGTATTCCGG